GGACTTAGAGCAAAGTTAAAACATTTGTGTCATGTAGAGAGCTTAAATAAATTACCCAACAGCCAACAATACTTATTTAACATCACATTAGTACTGTTTGTGTCACGTAAACCAGGGTGAGTAACATGAAGAGTAAGACAACAGAGTCCAGGTCCCCATATGAGGATGATGAGCAGTGCTCATTCAGTGATAGGGTTTTTACAACAATCACCTCCCTTGCATTTGCAGTACTTGCAACACTTGATCCCAGCTACCCTGCAGGGACACCCATTATTGCGAGCACACTTGCCACATGTGCAGGGATCTGGCAGGCCTTCGGGTTTTGAGATCACAAACTCAGGGACTAATGAACTACCCAATCTTACAAAACCATAATTCTCGGCATTCATAATCGAGGTGGCGTCTCTAAATGGGGCTTGGACCCACAGCTGCTGTTGGTGATACCCTCTATGGATATGTTTTCTTGCATTAGTTGATGTGCAAGTGGTTCTCTCGAAGTCCATCTTGAGGGCATTGCTATCAAATGCAGGGAGTCGCAGGTCGTCAAATGTCTTCAGGTCTGTTGATGGTTTGAGACACTTGACCAAGAATGTCTCTGCCAGCTGTATTGCATTTTCTGTTAGCTGTGGACTTTCGAAATTCAGGATCAGAGAGGAATTTTCTGGTTTGCGGACAGCATTCAGGGCTGCAAGTTTAGTTGATATCTTGCTGGTTGTATCGCACCCAGTCAGCGCATGGAGTGCTGGGAGACACTTTGTGAGCTCGTCTCCCAGCGCTAAGCAGATATCGTGGAGTGGTAATATTGATCTTCTCACTCCTGAGTTGCGGACGAGCCAGAGCTCTTTGAGACCAAGATCTCTCCAATTGACTGTGATGTGGTATAACAGGCACACAAAGACATCTGTGTCACCTGATGACAGCGTAATGGATGTAGGTCCTGACCGGTGGCTTAGAATGTCCTGCACATGGAACATCATCCTGTCGTCAGCTTCCTCGTGTGTGCAGTTGAGCCGAGGGAATGGAGAAGCACACCCAGCTGACACCGTCCATGCCTGTGGTGATATACCAAGGTATAGAGGTTTGGTACCTTGGTAATTGGTGGTGAGCCACTCAACATAGAATGCCTGGAAAGCAGTTTTGCTGATGGAAGACGACCAGAAGTTCTCTAACACCACTGGGACATTTTGGTTCGGTGATATCACATCAAGGACAACCATTTCCTTTGACTTCCCTCTTCTCTCCCTCTCTCCATTCTTGATGCTATCCTCTTTGTAAGTGTCGAAAACGATGTGGATCTCATCACAGTTGTGCCCAGCTTTGGTGACCATAGATGTCAAGGCAATAGCAAAGTCATGGAATGTTTTGACGGGCGGATCAAGCTTCTTTAAGGGGACCTTTCTCACCAAGGCCATGAAGTCGATAATGATGGCGTGGGTTTGTGGGGATGTTTCTGGACCTTTTTTATCTATTAGTGGGCACAACTTCAGCAGCTCAGTCCCAAGTTGTGATTTGGCACTCTTCCTCAAGTAACCATCTTTGTCAACCAAGAAGAACGCAGAGTTGGTGATCTCATGCTGTAGTAGCTCCTCAACAGTGAAACCCCGGTGACACCCATACTCAATAAACATGAGAGCTTTGATTGTCTCATCTTTGATGTCTACTTTGGGAGCCAAATTCAAGGTGGTCTTAGGGGACGTAAACTTGATTTTGCTAATAGTTGAGTGTATCGATATCGACCTATTTCTAAGTCGCTCATCGATACATTTAGCACAAGCAGCGCTGCCCTCCTTCATACAGCACAACAACTTGTCTATGTCTACGTTGGTCACAATTCCTCCAGTGAGAATGTTCTTCAGCGATACCTGGTCTTGTAGAGGACTGCATACCTTCAGGAGATACTCTGCTATGTCTTGCACCATCCCAACTATCTTAGTTGCAGTACTCGGATTGAAGTCGTGGTGAAGTGAGAGTTCTCCTTCTACATCATCCTTCATCTTCAGGAGGTCAACGTACTGGTCTTTCTTATGCTTGATGATACCCCACAGAGCTACTGCTTCCTTCTTCCTGGTGATACCAATTATCCCCCCACTCACTTTGGCAGGCCGGTTGTAGCACTGCTCTAGCGCCTGGTCAAACGGCACTCCACTACCTTTCTTGGTGGTGTTCACGACAAATCCACCATGCATGTAGGAGTCGTACAGTAGTGGGAACTTATCCTTCAGTTGATAGCAGTCCTGCAGGAATAATGGTGTCCACCGACAGTAGTTTGTTCTCCCAAAAAAGAAGAACAGTGAAGTTGCCCTCTCCATAGCACTGAGGTAGAGAATCCAATCTCCAGAGCGCAGAGAATTGGTCAGATCCCTAACTATTGGGTACAGGTCGGAAACGTATGTGTTCCAGTAATCAAAGGACTGGGACAGCGATGCCCTTTCCTTCAGGTAGACTTGAAAGGCTGCTTGGATGGTGTCAGCACGCTCCTTTGTCGTGTTCTATTCTTCGGCCGTGAGGTCTTTGGACTGGCAGTTGACCTGCAGTGCCTCTAGCTCCGTTCGTCTCTCAGGGTATTTGGAGAGGAATGCTTCCAACATCATAGATGTGAGGACCTCGTGTATCATTGAATGGGCAGTGCGGGCCCTGGAATAGTGGGAACTGGAGATCACAGTCTTGATGACATCAGTACCATAGCACTCGGTCTCAACTAGAACAGCAAACATTCCAGAGGGTTCCAGATATGTACCAAGACAGGCCAACACAATCTTCTCCATATGAAACCCACCTAGACCAAGGAATATGTTGCTAAACTGGTCTGGTTTCATGAGCTGAATTTCCTTGGCAATACGGTACACACCTTCGTCGGCCCACAACCCACCGTAGGTATCACCCTTCTGTTTCAGAGCATCCTGAAAGTTAATCATCGTGGTGAAGATTGCATCGTATGTTGTAGCTGGATAGGGAAGGATGGGGGTAAGAATTGTGGTGGTAGGATGAAAGGTGCTATTCACAGTTGCACTTCTCAGAGCTGTAAATCCTGGGACATAGTCACTCTCATGTGTCGCTCTTTTGGAGAAGCGATTGACTATCCACAGAAAATAGTCCGAATCTATTGACTTGGTGGACCCAGTGAAGTCTGTTGCTGTGGTGGAGCTATCAGTTGTTGTGGGAGAGGGGTCTGTTGACATATCCAAGACTTCTGCTGCTGCAGTAGTGGAGCTCCTTGTGTTGGAAGTTGGTTCTGCTGCCATGGCGATGGGGCCTGTTGTCAAGGTTGATGGGTCTGTTGCCGTGGAAGTGTGTATCACATCAGATACTACAGTGGTTGACTCTGTTGCTGAGGTAGAGGGTTCTGCTGCTGTAGTAGAGACTGTTGTTGGATCAACAACTGTTGCTGGGGCTATCGGGCCCAATGTAGTAGAATTGGAGAGAATCTCTGATACCTTGTAGGTAGGTATCTCCCTGCGTTCCTTCACTGCCCCCATCCTGATGAGCTGTTGGCAGATGACTGTAGACCTAAGCTTTATTGTGGTCCGGCTCTGAGCGGCAAGGGGCCTTGCAGAGATCTCACTCTCCTCTGATGGTTTCGCCAGATGAATTGGAACATTTTGGAAGAGAACAAGGATGGTATCGTGTGTGGAGCCTGTTCCTGCCAGGGTGCTTTCATTGCGGTCAAAGTTGTCCAATGCCCCATTTAGTGGGCTTGTTGCTTCAAGGACAGTGGGAAGAGGTACTCTGTTGCCACCTGCTGTAGTGATGATCCGTTCAGCGAGGTCCAAATCAATCCTCTTGACTGTGTTGTAGCTGAAACATATTCCATGATGGTTAAGAGTGGTCACTAGCTCTTTTGATCGTGTCAGACTGTGCACTCCTTGAGCCGCCATGACATGGAAAGGTGTTGGTTCCTTGCCATCAGTCATGATGTAGTGCAGAATTTGAAAGACTACATCAGTCTTCAGCTTAGAGGTTGTTTTCCCCTTGAACATATAGGAGCAAAACTCCTCCCATCTTGGTGGTGGGTTCTTAATTAATATGTCCATGGACAGTTTGAGGTCTTGGGGCTCACAGAGGCTCATCTGCAGTCCAAACCTATATCATGTCAGCTCCTGCGCCAGCTCAGTTGCAACCTGTTGGACAGGTGAAACTCGCAGGGACTCTACCAAGGCCTCTATAGAACTGTTGGTACAAAGTACCATCTGGGATATTCGTTTGTTACTTGGGTATGTAAAACAGACGGCGTCTCCATACATCTCGATGATCAGCTGCTTGACAGTTCTGTTTGACACTATTCCAGCTGAACCTTCATTTGGCCTGTCTCTGATGGAAGTCAGACTGTGTGCTGTCCTACTAAAGTCAATCCCAAGGGCTAAAAATCTATCCTTGAAGGAGTTGTCTCCGGCTGTTACCGACTCCTCCATTTCGAGGTTTTTCAGTATTTCCTCAATTTTAGCATGATATTTATTGAAATAGACTTTACAACATTGGTCGTGATATCAGTTATCAGCCGCAAAAACATCATCTAGCTCAGCTTATGAGGCCATACAGGGACAATGGCCATTTAACTGCTCGGCAGCGTCGTTTCAATCAGAAATTAAATGTTTCACGCGTGGTCATTGAGCATACCTTTGGCCTACTGAAAACGAAGTTCAGGAGGCTCAAATGTTTGTACATGAAAAACATTGCAAACATTAGCACAGCAGTCACTGCCTGTTGCATACTTCACAACATGTGCTTGGAGGAAGGGGAAGCAATTTAAGCTGATGAGCAGGTTGAAGCAGCAGATAACGGGGCACCGCATCCCCAGAACCAAGATGCAGTGTTGCACAGAAATCAAATTTGTGACCTTTTGTAAAGAGCTCACACACACCCCCCCCCCCCCCCCCCACACACACAAATAACCAGTGTCATATTCTTTGTGGAAGACATGTTTTTTATTTCCTTTCCTTTTATGCCCACAGTATTGAGTATGTAAGTCGCTTTGGATTAAAGCGCCTAACAAGTAACATGTAATGTAATGTCAACCAAAATGATTGGGCAAGTAAAAAATAAATGCATATATATGAAAACTAGATATGGTCATTTTCTGCACATGTCAATAGCAGTTGACTATCTTCTTTGAAAATGAAATAACTATATATACATATGTACACATGTACTTGGCAAATAAATAATAATCATTGCATATAAACATTGTGAACACTTAGTGTATACAAATACAAATATTACAAGGCAATTGCCAGGGCTGAAATAATAATTCAACTGCATAACGAGGAAAATAAATAAGTAATCTAAACAATATTACTTCCATAACAAACTGAGGTGGTGTTATTTATAAACAAATTCATTCATTCTGGGAATACCCAGTGTGGGGGAAATTATGGCATATTGGGCTTGTCCTGCAATAGCTCAATGATGCGCTCTTGTTGGCTCCCAATGCACTTTAATTGGGAAACAACTTCTCCCATCGCAGTCAACATTTTAGCTTCGAACCTCCTCCGTTTTCTCTCCTTCAGCCTTCTCCGGCGCTCCTGTTCTGGCCGCACCAGTGTCTCCAGTGCACTGGTCCTCCTCTCCGAGTGGGCCTCATACAGGTCGTAGAAGGAGGGATGGGAGACTCGAGACCGGATTGATCTCGGCTGAGTGGTGGGCAGGGTCATGGAGGGACCAGGCTGGCCCTCAGAGGCACACGGCAGTGTGGTGGGTGGTTGTGAGGCAGTGGGAAATAGAGGGGTAGAAACAAGAGTACCTGGTGGTGCGCTCCCAACACCGCACCTCCCAAACAGGTTGTCCATTATCTGTGGAATTGCAGAATTGTTAAAAAGGAAATGTTGCTTTTACCAACTAGATGTGCAAGAACAAACTTCTTACCCCATAATATTCCCACGTTATGTTCCCCTCTCCTGTTGAGGTACAACGGTCCTTGGCCCTTTTGTATGTGGTCAAAAGGTTGTTCAAATTTCGGATTTTGTCTGAGGAGAAACTGTATCCCTCCTTGCTGAACTGCCGTTGTAAAATTTTATAAAAACCGGGTTTAGAGCGATAGTACACGTGTTGGTGTGTTTTTGTCAGGTCCAAAAGCAGCAATATGGTGTTGTATGTGAAATCTGTTAAGACACAAGTGTTAGTAACTCAAACAAATAGCATTTGCTGTTTAGATCCTCATTTTAGTTACTGTACCTTGTGTTGTCTCAAGGTGTTCTGACCGGCTGGAGGGGGATGCCAGGTGAGGAGTGCCAGCTTGGGATGGAGCAGGCCTTTCAGGAGCAGGCCTTTCAGGAGCAGGCCTTTCAGGAGCAGGCCTTTCAGGAGCAGGGCTTTCAGGAGCAGGCCTTTTAGGAGCAGGGCTTTCAGGAGCAGGCCTTTCAGTAGCAGGCCTTTCAGGAGCAGGCCTTTCAGGAGCAGGCCTTTCAGTAGCAGGCCTTTCAGGAGCAGGCCTTTCAGGAGCAGGCCTTTTAGGAGCAGGGCTTTCAGGAGCAGGCCTTTCAGTAGCAGGCCTTTCAGGAGCAGGCCTTTCAGGAGCAGGCCTTTCAGGAGCAGGGCTTTCAGGAGCAGGCCTAGCATCTGAAGACAGATCTAAAGGGACTGTGATTGAGAGAAAATTAAATATTTGTTTACAATAAACATGAATGTGTCATTTGTTTGATTTGCATTAAAAGACAATACCATTTTTGATTTAAATGATAGATGACCTTGTGCATTTGTTGCAGCCCTTGCTTGCTGCATAAGTGCAGCTGCTAAACTGTTATCTGAAAAATAATTTACATCATTTAAAGTCATATCCAGATTGTTGGAATGCAATTTAGTTGTTTACTCACCATTTTGTAGTCTTTGGGACATTTCTTGTGAGACTCATAAGGCAAGGCAAGGCAAGTTTATTTATATAGCACTTTTCAACACAAGGCAATTCAAAGTGCTTTACAAAAAATTAAAGACATTAAGAAAAAGGCATTTAAAATCAGTCATTAAAAAGAAAAGCTAATAAAAGAAACATTAAAATAAAAAATACATGGTTAAAAGTTATAGTGCAGTCTAAGATATGAATAGTTCAATTAAACATTAAAAGAAAAAGTACATGGATAAAAGTTACAGTGCAGTCTAAGATATGAATAGTTCAATTAAACATTACAAGAAAAAGTACATGGATAAAAGTTACAGTGCAGTCTAAGATATGAATAGTTCAATTAAAAGCAGCGACAAAAAGAAAAGTCTTCAGCCTGGATTTAAAAGTAGTCAGAGTTGCAGCGGACCTGCAGGTTTCTGGGAGTTTGTTCCAGAGATTTGGAGCATAATAACTGAACGCTGCTTTACCATGTTTAGTTCTGACTCTGGGGACAGAAAGCTGACCAGTCCCTGAAGACCTGAGAGATCTGGATGGTTCATCATTTAGCAGGAGGTCAGAAATGTATTTTGGGCCTAAACCATTCAGTGCTTTATAAACCAGCAGCAGTATTTTGAAATCTATTCTTTGACACACAGGAAGCCAGTGTAAAGACTTCAGAACAGGAGTGATGTGATCCACTTTCTTAGTGTTAGTGAGGACTTCTTACAGTGATGTCTCCCTGTTCGTCACGCAGTGTAAGCACCACAAATTCCATTTTACCCACTGTAGACAAAGGTGATCTCCATTGCTTTATATAGGTTTGTTAATTGAGTCATGATGATGAACCACACCAGTGACTGGGTTCCATAATTAGAAATGCTCCTCCCTCTTAATGTTTGTAAAACTGATAGGTGGACAGGATACAAATGGTCAGTCCCTTCAGATCCGCACACATGAAGCTTAATGAGCATTAATTGAACAGACCTGCTGCTGTGTTGTTAGATGTAAATATAATTATTTAGCTGCCACTTTAAGCTTTATGATGTGTACAACATCAGTGCTTGAATTGGAATGAAAAAGGTGCCAGTACTCTAAAATCAGCAACTTTTTCAAGTCAATTTTATATATACAGCCCACAAACAAGAATTTGGCTACTATAATGCTGGTGGGTTTGTCTCTTTACTACTGTATATTTTAGAAAGGTTCACTGCACTTAACATTTTTTATGATGGGCAGCGGATATGGCTAAAGCTCAGTAAGGTCAATATTAACTGAAAATATAGCAATCAAAGTCTAGATCTTCTGCTGAAGACACATGAAGCAGAGACCTTTCAGGTGAGAGCCCCTCTGGTGGTGTTCAACATTAATGACAAGGAAACAAAGCTCTGGTCAGAAGCATTTTTTATAAAAAGCTTTAACAAAATTAAGTATTTCTGTACATTTTGAATGCAATCTAACTTTCCAACTCAGAAAACGAAAAACGAAAAAGTGCCAAAAGTCTTCTCACATGGCTGAGCTGCTTTGCAATATACTTCACCACTGAAGAATACAAATATGTATAAAGTAAACTATGATGCAATCTAACTTTCCAACTCAGAAAAATGATAAAGAGCATGAACAAAGAACATGTAAAAACAAATGCAAAATTTGCACAATCTAAAATGAGAAACTGTAACTGCAAGTAACAAAGTCTGAGCCATGGTAAAGAGTTACATTGAACATCAAGCTGATCAGATAACTCCCTGGTTGGTCTGAAGTCCTTCTATCTCCAGGATCTGTACAAATCGGCACATTATGCCAAAAGTCTTCTCACTGGGTGAGCTGCTTTGCAATATACTTCACATTGTTAGAAAAGGCTCCAGAAGGCCTTGGGGACATCAGTATCAGGGGCTGGAGCTGGACAGGCTCTTTCATCAGCACTTCTCCTTCCCTTTGCCAGCCAGGACCTCACATACTGTTCCAGATTGAACTGTCCTAGTGATGGTCCATTACATTTAATGAAAACCAGGCTGGACAGTCGGCTGACAGAGAGAGCATTCCTTTTTGCAGTAAGGATATCGTTCATGCAGCTGAATGCCCGCTCACACTCACTAGTGGAGACAGCGATGGTTCGGACTGCTTTCAGTAGAGGCTCCATGGCAGCAGGTGTACGGGATGCCCTGGTTTCCTTGTATTCGCGAAAGCCCTGAACAGTCTCTCTTCTGTCCACTTTCAGCACTTCGCACAAACGTAGCACCTCTACGTCCCCATACTGTACGTCTAACTCCTCTTCAGGCCAACTTCCAGGATGGATAACTTTCATGTCCTGGATTAGCTGATTGTCCCGGGCCTCCCGGCCATGTAATGGGATTTCTCTTGTGCTGACATGAGAGGAGGTTGTGGAAGTCATTCTGTGTCTCAGATTCTCTACCATACTGCGGAAAAACTGACCTGCATGAATCTGTACAAGCCTGCCATTCTCACGCAGGGCAACACCCTTGAAGGACTTCTCAGCTAGAGCTGTATGAACTGTAGTCATGTGTGGGCCAGGCATGGTGACCATGGATTCAAAAACTCGTATTTCTCGAGTTAAGAGCCTATCTGCTGTAGGCAGTGTCATCTCTCTTTTTTGGAGTTGCCGAGAGAGGTCGCTGAGCTCTGTGAGCGCATCGTACATCAGTCCCAGATTGCTGACAAACGTTGCAGATGTGAGCACATCATCCAGGCCCTTGTACTTTGCTCTGTCTCTGGAATCCCTGCTCGTGTCGTTTGCAGCATTTGTGAAGTGATCATGAAGCACTCTGTAGTTTTCCCAGACTGCTCTGACGCTCCTTTCACTTGAAGCCACCCAGCGGATGGACAAAACACGCCCTATCACCAGGAGACGCTGTCCGACTGCTTGCGCACACTGCGCTAACTGCCTCTGATTTTTGGGGGAGGCATGGAACAAGGAATAGAGTTTGACAAAAAAGATCTGGAAATGATTGAGCCCTGAGACCTCCTTGACCACATCCCCAACTGCCAGCTCTAGACGATGATTGGAGCAGTGCCACACAAACAGGCTTGGGAATTTACTACACAACTGGGTAGCAACGCCTGTTCTCTTCCCTAGCATGACTGAAGCCCCATCACATGCAAAAGAAACGAAACACTGACCTAAAAAGTCCTCGTTAAAATCTCTTCCAAGACACTCCATTAACGCCTTTGTAATGTCATCAGCCGTTGTTCCATCCAACTCGATCAGCTCCCAAAAAAACGTTTCGGGCTCAGCATCAGCTAATGCTGAGCGTAGACACACAACAAGCACCATTTTACCACTAATAGTGGTAGATTCATCGACCAAAACACAGAGTTTTCTTTGGTTTTCTGTAATGTCTTTTGCCATTTTTTTCTTCAGCTCATGAGCTATGTGGTCGATGATTTCGCCACAGGTTTTATTGGAGTGCAAAACCCTGCCCACGTTCAGCCCATTCAGTTTCTGTACATTCAAATCAATTGGCATGTCTGTGAATGGCCGGCTATGTTTGCCAATTTTATATGCCGTTCGAAAAACTCTGATAGTGGTGTCTAATTCAGATTTATGCATAGACTGCACTTGATGTTGAATAGTTTCACGTGAAGCAGATGTAAGGATGTCAGCAGCTTTTACATGGGCTTGTGATTCTTTATGTTCTTTGATTTTTTTTTCTCAGGCTAGCTTGTTGTTTGCCCTTGTCAACACCGAAATGAGACACTGCACACTCACCCCATTCAGTTGACAGTTTCAGTCCTTGTCCAGTGTGTATTCCCAAAGATTTGACATCTCTGCATATCCGACATCCTAGCTTCTTATCTTTAAGAAGGAGCCATGCATTGGTCTTGCAAAAATATTGCACCTGGTCCGTTGTCCAGCAGTCAGGTGCATCGCTTTGCCAGGTGTTGGTGGTGGCAGTTGCGCCAGCAGCAGCTAACGTTAGAGGCTCTGGAGGAGGCGGCGGAGCTAGTGCTAATGCTAATGCTCTAGAACTTGGAGCAGGAGGATCAACTAAAGAAAGCTCCCCATCAGACACAATTTCCAACACAGGCACAGCATTCTCTGTATTTGAAGTTTCTTCCGGCGACAACCGCTGTCTTTTTGCACTTTTATTAATCCACGCTAACATTTTAGAAATGCTAATTTGTGACGTGACTTGCTTTCCTTCTCTCGGGGGCGTGCCTGCTCTGTTCTATCACTCTACATAGCCACCCACTGGGTGGGAGTTGCACTGCATAAACACAACACACGTGCATCTAGGTATGTAAATTGTAAAGCATTAAAACATGGTTTTACTAACAGTTTTCAGTATGTTGTTACTTCGGCATTATTATTATTATTATTTTGAAACGTGTATTACTATTAAATCACGGTCAAATAGGTTAATTTTGACATAGTCGTTTCCACCACAGTATTTACATGGAGAAGATAAGCCCCGCCCCCTCTCCAGCACGTTCTGTTTGAATGACAGGAGTAAACAGCTGACAGCCGCTGTGAAACTCCAGCGGTTAGAGCGATGAGAATGTCCGTTCGGCACCTCATGACGCATCTACTGAGTACCGGGCGGCTGTATATATATATATGGATGTATAATAAGAACGGCGGGAGAGTGTTGAGTACTGGCACGGTGCATGAGTACCGGAGTACCGCCAGCATGCCGGTACTGAGCAAGAAGTGCCGGTACTCCATGGGTCAGAACCAGAAGTGCCGGTACTGCGTACCGGTGAGTACCGGCCCAATTCCAGCACTGCAACATGGATGTAATTTGATTTAATCTTGCCATTTTAAATGATGTATTCAATAAATAAGGTTAAACCGGTTAAACCAAATCATTACATTACAATAGATTTTATTTTAATGATTTGGTTTAACTTTAAGAGAATTGCTAGAAATAACACCTCACTACAAATTTAAAGTGTCTGTTCATTTTAAAACAAATCAATACAAGGGGGGTTGAATCCATACATGTAAAAGACAGAACCACTTATTAATTTTCAAAATTACTTCCGTCAGTGGTCTTGACCAGTTTGTATTTATAAAGAATGCACACATGTGTTTAATCGTTAATGTCAGATATGTACTAAGTAAATACATGTGTTCCTCAAGATTAGATTATACTTTATTGTT